CTTATGTAGATAAGAATTGCAAAAGGCATTAATGTGACAGTTGTGGAAGTTTTTCTTTGATGTGTGCATGTAGGATATTCGATAAATGGAACAAAAACGATTCCAAAACATGTACATGTTACGGAGAGAATACTGCAACATTCATACGAAGGTTGATCATGTTACGAGGGAGGAATAATTATTGGAGTTACAGAATTCTGAATATGAAGACGAAGACGTTTGAGAATGCAATGCATGATAATTGTAATGGAGAAAGAGGGGAGGCAAATGAAGGAAGCAGAGTTTATAAGACCGATGATGAAATAGAATCGGATAACGAACTAGACAACAGTCTTACTATAGGTGAAACAAGAAATGTTTGAAAAGGGTATAATTGTACATCTTAAAATAGATGTTGATGATAGTGATTTATTTAATCAATATTTATACTCCAAATGTTGGTATATATTTTTCATGAGCATAAACACATATTTGCATCAAAATACTAGTGATAGCTCGATCCTGGCTAGTAATTATAATGCAGCTTTAACTGTAATTGATTGATGTAACAAAAAACATTAATACTGATGATATAGATGTTCGAGAGATTCATAGAATTATCTATGATAAGAATATTTCCGGTCTAAGGAGATCAAGAAATCCTGGTATTGTTATTTTCTCTAGAAATAAAGTTGAACTAGGCGAAATTAAGCAGAGTAGGATAGATGTTTAAATTATATTCTCTAAATGGTGTTCCAGTATGCATAAACAAAATACAAATACATCCTTTGGTGATCATTCTTTCGTACATCTTAACCTAAATACATGGAAAGCAGAAACAGAGCCTGGATTATGGATAGTAAATAACAATGTTCTTTGTGAGGAAGAATATGCACAGAGAGAGAGAGAGAGAGAGAGAGAGAGAGAGAGAGAGAGAGAGAGAGAGAGAGAGAGAGAGAGAGAGAGAGAGAGAGAGAGAGAGAGAGAGAGAGAGAGATCAATTCTTGCCGAGGGAAAAACTGAATAAATGTATTTCAGTGAACCGCTAATTTGGTAGGATACTGTAAAATACAAAATAAAAAATCATGCAGGTATACTGTATGAGAGGAAATAGGGAAAGGTTACACAAATATTTTAGATTGCATAATAAATTGAAATCATTTTCCGCAAAAGTTGCCATTAAAGAATAAAAAAAAATCAAAACATATTATGAACTCAAACAACAGTTCAGTGGCTATGAACTTAAATTTTGTGGATCTAAGGCGAATATAGAGATATAAGGCGAAATAGACGTTTGAAATTGATCCAAGTAAATTCCCAATCTTGAAAAATATCGACAAAAGAAAAATGTAATTAATGAAATAATTGATGAGGACGACTTAATTCATATACAAATGAAAGTTTAGATGAACTATATCAGTTTTTTATACTCATTTTATTCCTCAGTAACTATTAATAAAATTGCAAAGATTCAATTTTAAATTTCGTAAATTGTTCTGTACCTGATGAGGATAAAGATATGTGTGACACCATAATAACAGTTGATAAAATAACTGCTACTGTAAAACTGATGGAAGAAAATGAAAGTCCTGGCCATGACGGATTGAAAGTAGAGTGGTTTTTGTCAATTTTATGATTGTATATACGATATTCTGTTGCATATGTTTTACAATGAAAGTATTATGTCGAGGTCAGCAAGATTTGGAGTTATATCACGTATTTATAAAAACAAGGAATATAAAAAGAAGTTTGAAAAATTAGCGCCCAATAAGGTTTCTTAATGTAGATTTTAAAATTTCGCAAGAATTTTGTCTACACATTTAAAACTGGTATTAGCCAAAATATTACCCCTAACTCAGACATGTTGTATAGTTTGAAGAATTATTGCTAATAACATAGTCACTGTAAGATATATATATATATGTATATATATATATATATATATATATATATATATATATATATATATGTATATATATATGTATGTATATATGTATATTGATTCTCTCAACAATATATATATATATATATATATATATATATATATATATATATATATATATATATATGTATATATATATACATATATATATATATATATATATATATATATATATATATATATATATATATATATATATATATATGTATATATATGTATATATATATATGTATATATATATATATATGTATATATATATATATATATATATATATATATATATATATATATATATATATATATATATATATATATATATATATATATATATATATATATTGTTGAGAGAATCAATCTTGAGGGATATATCTTAAAAAAAAAATTCATCAAGAGAGAAAAACGTTTGACAGAGATAGCCACTCATATTTGATGTCTGTTTCATGAAAATTCGAGTTTGGTGACAGTTCCTTTCAGTGGATAAATCAGTTTCTAGTGAATTTAAAAGAGTTGTTAAATACGATGTGCGTCTAACAAAACCATTTTTAATTAAATCTTAGCCAGATGAAAGTTGTCCTATGTAAGTGATATTATACATATTAGCATCAAAAACCTTATCAAAGAAATTCCTTATATCATAGATTTTCGATTTGCACTGCCTAGCAATACAATTATCGTCTTTCGACATGCCACTCATACAACCATGATATTAGTAGACAAAAAATCCTTTAATCAATATTTTAATATGCTTGACGTATATTGTAATGTGTCTGGTGCAAAAGATAACAAAAAAAGCAACAGAACTCTTATGCACTGGATTTTTAAAATTGATGAATATTGCAGACAAAGATAGATTCAAATTTGTGATCCAGTCATTTTATTTTGGGAAAATATGCAAAGTTATATAAGCAACTTAACGGGAATAATAAAAATTATTTAAAATTGACAATTTATTATTGATAATTACCAAAAATTAAAAGAAGTTGCCTCAGTTGTGAATTCAGAGATATCTCACAATACAGGAAAGGTTACAGTGCTTAATACTTGATTAGTTTCCACATATGATTGGTCATCAATCTCAAAAATGTATCTTTTTTATTTATCTGGACAGGAAAAATGTTCCATTTGGTTAATCATTATACATAATAAGAAACATGGCTGACTAAAAGTAACTGATATAAACATGAAAATCCATGCATTCAGACTAAATTGTTTTAAAAAGAAACTTTGATGCTAATTGAAATGGAAAAATACAGTTGATTAATTTTTATTTACTTTTCTGAATATTACGTTGACTAAAGATGTGTTTCTCATGACTTTAAATAGACAACAATTGAATCCTGTTTTACAGACATCTTTCATAGATGCTAAAATGAAAAATAATATCGACATGAATATTGACTTGTTGAACGTATTTGAACAATCTCTTTCTAATTTGTTTGATCACAATTGCTGATAAAACATTAGAAGCAGGGCTTGTTTGCGTTGAGGATATTGCATACTAATTTGGATTTGGTCAATTACCTGCTATTCAAGAAATTATATATGAATCAGTGCTTGAGGTCAAAGCAGAAAAGATAGAAAAAGAATACAATTGTATAATATAAAGTATAACTCAGACTGGACAAATATTTTTGTAACAGAACCAAAAGCGAACTGGCCCACTGGAAGGATAACATGTATCTAAATGTTGATACAAAATCGTATAAATTCTGTTCATGTACAAAAAAATCAATTACATGCTTTAATGTACTTTGACTTTCCAAGAACCAGCTTCTATTTCCTTTTGGAGTAAGATATTTAATTTAGAAACATTTACTTATTGGAAATTGATACACTTGCTATTCAAGACTCCATATTTTGCAGGTTTAAATTACAGGACAATGCACGAGATAACCAGATTTTGCAGGTTTGAACAATGCACGAGATAAAATTTACAAAGGATAAATTGAAATACTATGGAAATATTGATAATGACTTATGTTTAGTGTGCCAGTTGGAAACACGATTTTGTTCACACGTATTTTAAATGTCCTTCATTATTCTCTTGTAAGAATTATTTTGTATAGATACAATTGGGATTCTTTAAAACAAATGGTGAATTTAGCGTTCTTAATATAATATTTTATGAACACACGTTCATGACAGGATGTAAGAAAGAATTAACATCAGCAGTAGTTACATTTTGAACTACATTCTGAGCATTGCTTGATTGTGTATTTACTAAAGATGAAGAAGCAAGTGATTATTTTGGAGAAATAGACATAGAAAGACTGTTTCAATATACGTATCAGCATCAGAAAGACAAAAATCAAGCTTTGATTAAAATATTTTGTCCAATATAATCCACCGATAAGAATAGATGAGGATAAGATGTTTGTAGAGCTAATATTTTGTAATATTACAACATAAAAAACTACCTACATATTCACAATATATTTTGTAACCTTCAAATTGTATTGAAAGCTTTTAAAGAAAGAAAAACATGAGCACGCTACTCTTAATTGCGTAGTATTGGGGTCTAGCATTACATCGGGCTGTATATTTTAGTAGTCTTACTTGGTAAGTACAACGTTTGAAGGCATATTTCTCATAATTATTATGCTGTAATTAAGTATTATGAAAAGCTTAAAATAATCAGTGATAATTTCTCTCAAATTCGCACTCCACATCCTCCGTTATTCACGTGTTTGTTGAATTTGTATATAAAGTAGGTACAAATTTGAATTATTTGACTTTTGAGTGTAACCTAGTAAATAACACATCTTGAAAACAATGTAAAGTTTGAAAGTTAAAAAGAAGTTATTTAGTGATATTAGACAAGACACAAGATGTTGAAGGAAAAACTTCTGATTGGTTGCTGGTTTATTAGACTAACATTTGCCATTAGAAGGTACATGCAATCAATAGCAATCTTCGGTCTTACCATAGCTTAGCTTAGCTATTTATGTCATGGCACGAAATAAACACTGCGTTGTAATTAGTCAATAGTTAGACCATTATTCTGAGAGAAAAAAATCAACCTGATGACTGCTTTTTATTTTATAAGATATAACTTGAGGAGAAAAAGAAATATATGTCAGCCCGGTTAGCTCAATCGGTAGAGCACGAGACTCTTAATTCCGGAGTCGTGGGTTAGAGCCCCACATCGGGTGTGTATATTTTTATAGCTAGGAATCTGTTGTTGTTATTGTTGTTGGGCTTAACACCATTTTTCAGCACACGATAGGCTATTCATGGCGGCCATTATTAATGGTGGAGGAAGAAACCGGGAAATCACCGGAAAGAACCACCGACCCACGAGAAGCTGCTAGCAAGCTTTCTCACATATCCACATTCGCCGAATCCTAGACTCGAACTCACGCTGAGGTGAAGATGGCAGTGATCCGTAACGGACAGTGCTTTAGACCACTCGGCCACTCGGGGCCCCGCTAGGAATCTTGTTGGCAAATACAACGTTAGAAGCATATTTCGCATAAGTATTTTCCTGTATATGAGTGTTATGCTATACTCAAAAATAATATATTGAAACTTGCTCTCAAAATTGATCTTCACTCCCTTCTGCATTCACGCTGTATGGTGAATAGGCTTGTAAGATAGGTAAATATTTGAATTATTTGACTGTATAGTGTATCATTTTAACCCAGATTTCTTGTTTGTGTTTCAAACCATGCACCTAGTTTTATTTCCATTAAGTGTTTTCGAATTTTCCTTTTCTCTTCGCCACGAGGAACTGTATAATTGAGTTGTTTTGTTTTTATAAACCAATATCCTGTAAGAAACTTTTGTGTACTGACTAGTTCCAAATACTGTTTATTTATATTTAAGTACCTTGTAACTAACTATAACTGACTACTTTTATAACTAAATATAACTGACATCGGTAGGTAATCTTTTCTGACAAATTGGCAATCGCACTCTCATATAAATGTGTTAGCGTTATTCCACACGAAAGAGTTTGGTAGTGAATATTAACATTAAGAGAAAAAGTTACTGTATTGTGCTTTATGCACAATAAATTGTCTTAAAGACAATAATCAAAGATAGTTTGTTTAGACTAAATATAAGGTATATAGTCCTATTAGATGTGACACAAACACATGCAATGTTGAAGAAAAAAATTCGGATTGGCTGTTAATTTATCAAATTAGGCTTTGCTTTGGCAAGATAAAAAGCTAGTAATAACAAACTTTGATCTTATCATCGCTTGACTATTTATGTCATGGCACGAAAAAATCTGCGTTGTAATTAGCCAATGGTAAGAATATTATTCCGAAGAAACATTTCACTAACATGGAAAAATATGGTGCCGGATGCAGACAAATCAACTATCGAACCAATTTCGGCATTTACTGTCCCAACAAACATAAGAGGCGAATCTCCAAGCACATCAAACTGTCACAACTGGATGTAAAGAAGAAATCTTTTTCTTAATGCCATTTCATCAATAGCCAAGCGATGTTACAACCGAAGTTCGCTATTACTTGCTGTACCTTCTCAAAACGCCGGAAGCAAACAAGACGAAGAAATTGATTTGTCTGGAAGTTTTTTTTTGCATGCTGCAAGCTGTTCTAAGTTCAATCATCTACGACTATTTGGAAATCAACACCTGATCAAGTTTTAATTACAAATATATATATATATATATATATATATATATATATATATATATATATATATATATATATATATATATATATATATACACATAACCAGCCACACAAGCAAATACACAAAACACAATACATAAGAATGGACATATAACCAAGAAAAGTATCTCTGTCTCAATCATATGTGAACTAATCACAGCGGGCACTGAAAAGGACATGCTCGAACTAAAAATATTTTGTCATTTGCTTTCCTGCGGATTAATATACTTCGTTCGATTTCCTTTTTTTAATGATGTCTTATTTCGAAATAAATAAACGATATAATTTGATGAGAAGGACAACAACTGTTATCAATGTCAGCCCTGTTAGCTCAGTCGGTCAAACGCGTGTTTTTCAAAACTGTGTTCAAGCCCCAAATTGGGAGGCTATATTTTAGTTGTTAGAATCTTGCTTTTTAACTGTCATGTACATAATTATAATTAGCTATTTTTCTAATTTTGCCAGTTATTTGTTGGTTTAAAAGTTTTAACGACGCCGTCTTAGAACTTTCCTTTACCGTTGTTCCACACCGAATAATCTGGTTATGAAAAGTCTGACATGAAAGGATAAAATAATGTGTTTTGTATTCACATGTTAAAGACAGTAGTCAGATTAAAGACAGCAGTAATAGTAAAGTTTGGTACCAGTCAACATAATATATATATATATATATATATATATATATATATATATATATATATATATATATATATATATATATATATATATATATATATATATATATATATATATAGTTAATGTAATATTATAAATTTGCTTTGAGAAGGTACAGTTAGCAATTGTGACCTTAAGTCTTAAGATCGCTTGGCTATTTATATCATGGCATAAAATAAACACTTCTATGCAATTAGTCAGTATTGTGAAGATTATTCTAAAGAACATAATGTTAGCATGGAACAATATGGCGCCGTAAGCAGTTTAATTTGGAATTTGCTGTTGTATTAAGCATGTTGCACCCCACATTTGGCGACTCACCAAACAAATCGAACTGATATGCGTACCAACAACCACTTCCAAAGTTAGATGGAAATGGTCGAGCGATGTCCCGATCGGTTGGCCTTTTACAGTACAGACTGGCACAATAATGTAAATATTTAATTTCCTCGATCAACAACTATCACGAGACACAATGACACACCAGCTTGGACGAAAGAATAAGATCAAAGCTGAGCAAATCGTAAAACTTGTTCACAAGACGTTAATCATTAACGACTATTTCGTCAATGTAACATCTGGCCTAATCATGTACTTCCCACATGACATAATTTAAATACGAGCATAATGTTAAAACACTTTCACGTAAGAAAATACCTATAACATGAGTATCTCACCAGGGACATATAGCCAGGAATAGAGGTTCTCTGTCTTCATGAAACATTTACAAAATGATATATTCCAGTTTATGTAAAATAATCATGGCGGAAATTGAAGAAGATATACTAAAAACAAATATGCCATCTGAATTTTCTTGCCTATCATTTGAAATAACTCGACAAATATCTATTCTGAATTGGTTTGCTGATTTTCTAAAGTACCATGCAATGTGACGAGAAAGCAATAACTCTTAACAGCCGGTAAAGTATGATACTCTAAATTCCGGGGTCGTGGGATGAGCCCCACATCGGGCGAGTGAATTTAATTATATTGTTTTATATGGCGGAGGACGATGTTTTATGATACTGAAATATATCAGTTTGAAGTTAGTCTTAAAGTTTCACTACATACCACTATGGGTTAAGAATACGAATGTATCTTGGGGGAACAAAGGCAATAACTGTTAGCAGTGCTAGCACAACACGGGTAAATACAACTTTCTGATGTACATTTTCTCTTCATTATTTGCTTTACAGGAAATAATGCTAAACAACATTGAAGAAGGAATAGTTTATATTTCGTCTTTAACTTTCACTCCGTATTATCCAGCATTAACATGATCTGTGAAAGTTGTTGCCCGAATATTATGTTTATTTATCCAGTTAAAATGTCAACTTTTATTTTTATTATCTTTTCTTAGGCCGTTTCTATTTTCTGGTACGAAGACTTAAATAATTGATCTTAATAGATCAATCTCCAGTTGTTTTAAACAAAGTATTTGGAAAGAGAAAAAATGGGTACGTGGAATTGTATAACTGAACTGAATAGAGAAATCCCCCGTTATTTACTAAAACAATTTATTTTTCAAGAGACTTAATTGGTTTTGATTAATAAAAAATACCTTTATTTAATTTTACTTTCCCAATTTCTAATCATACATATTTTCCTTCCTTTTGGTAGCTAATCTTTGGTGCAGAGGTAAAAATAATGGTCTTATCGTTTTCTTAATGATCATTCAGATATGGAAGAAAAGAATCGGGTTATGTTCAAAACAGCAATTCTCAAATAATAGAATATTTTCAAAGGAAAGTTTAATGACTAAACATAAGTATATTTCCTATCTTATGTGACAAAAACACGCCAGAAGCTGAAGACAAACGTCAGAAAGACTCTTGATTTTTCACAAATTTATCTTGCTCTGAAAATGCACAAAAAGTCTTTCTCACTTAATATCAACGTACGATCGTGAAACAAACCTCCGATTTAGGTCGTCGCTATAAATTTACTTTCAACAAATGCTGTCCACATGAACAATATGGCGGCGAAAATAGATAAATTAACGATCGGATCAATTTCCTTTTTTTTCTATCCTAAACTACATGCTGTAGTCCAAAGAAGGCGATTCTCCGAACATACGAAATACATGTATACGTCTAATCATATAATCATTCTCTAGGTTATTTCACAACATGAAGGAAATCACGGAGCAATGTTGCTGTTGGCTGACTTATCACACTACATACTGGTACAAGTATGAAAACGTTTAATTTCATTGATCAACTGCTATCTGGATATAAATGTACAAAACATATTCGAAGAAAAAGAATAAAATCAATTCTGAGAACTTGTACACTTGATTTCTGATATTTCACAGTCCTTACCAAACAATTGACATAGATATAATAAATATATTGTCTTTGATGTCTTAATCATAAAGGTTCAGGTAAGAAATTCAGTTTGAGGTTCGATTTTGTATTGGATTATATTCTGCAACCCATGTCCAAGTGACAGTCATTTGGAGACTGATACCCAGGAGGTTTAAAAGTTTGCCTCACTAAATAACGTGATTGCAGTTGTTTTTATAAAGTAATCGATTTATCTCGAAGTTTCATTTACTTCTTAGTTGTTGCTCGCAATACGTTAAACCGTCTGCGGCGATTTCGAAAATGGCTGATCGGATCTAATTATATTGTGTTTTTCAGTGTTTTACCTGACGAATATAATGATATGGGCCGACATGTAAACAAACACATCCAACATAATATATTTAATAATAGTAATTTAATCCTAAATTCAAAGAGCACTTTGTAATTCGAATGAAAAATTCTTTTCAAATTAAAACTGAACACAGCTAAAGGATTGATTTCGCTATGGATGCTGAGATAGGGACTAAATAATTTCTGCTCCTTCTCTCCTACATAGAAACATAAGACACAATATGAGAACCAAGATGAGGGTCATCTTAATAGGAATTTCCATTAAACTGTAAAGGTTCGGGTTTCTGAAATTTGCTAGGGCCAGAATCAATGCCGTATCTAAATATCAAAACTAAGCAAACATTTTCACCTAATAATAATAAAATTAATTACAATAAAAAATCAGTATGATCAAAGACAAGAATGCAATATGTTATTTATAGAAAAAAGACATTAGTCAGGCATACCCAACTACTACCCACAATAATGGACATTGGTCAGCCACATAATAGAAATTAAGTATACACAACATCTAATTATGGGCATAAAGCAACAAACAACATACATTTAAAAGAGTTATATATTCAAATATAACGCTAAATTATCACACTTGAAGTCTGAGAATTACCGCTGAAAATTAAAATAACAGTCTGCCAGTTAATTGCCAGTTAATTAATATATGTCGTTGGATTTTTGATGTGTTTTAACTGAATCACGGGACCTATATTATGAAGGAAAACTACATTTTGGCTCGAAAATGTAATAAGTGCTAAGAATAGCAGCCCGGTTAGCTCATTCGTTAGAGCACGGTACTCTTAATCCTGGGTCGCGGGTTTGATCCCCATGCTTGGCGTGCGACATACATGACTTTTATACAGAACTGAAAAATCAAATCACTTTCTGACTTTCAAAATCTCCAAGTTAAATGATCCTGGCTGTTTGGTGAATTTGCTAGAAAGGTAGGTAAGCGCTTGTAATCTTTGATGTTTGAGTTCATGCAACAATATCACCTGTCTTTATTTATATTGACATTATTAAAATTCTTCTCTTGTATCTTTGTTTCGAGTAATTGCAATTTTAAACTTTTAATAGTAAAGCTGTATTTTTCAAGAAACAGTAGGCTTTGGCTAATTACAAATTTTCTTTTGCTTATTTTAGCTGACTTGTATCTAATTATGTATGAGCTATTTTTATGATTTTCGCAATTAAACTTAGTCATCCATTCTGCAGTAAAGTAGCCTGCATTCTAACTTCCAGTCTGCAGTATACCAGTCTGCATATTGATATCCATTCTGCATAATAATATCCAGTCTGCAGTATACCAGGCAGCATATTGATATCCAGTCTGCATAATAGTATCCAGTCTGCTTACTGACATCGTCTTAAAACGTTTGTTGAATCGTTTTCACGCTTCATAGAGATTGATAAAGAAGATCGTGACAACGAAAATAAATATAGTGTTATAAACAAAAGAATATTAAATATAATTTATATATTACTATCTAGAAACTTTGACTAATTATGAATTACCTTTTGCTGATTTTAAATGACATTTAGCTTGATTTTCGCAAATAATCTATGATCTACCAGTCTTCATAATGACAACTTGTTTGCAGTATACCAGTCTACATACTGACGTCGTCTTCTAACTTTAAATGAATCGGTTTATCGCATCACAAAGTTGGATAAATAACACTTTGACATGAACAGATAAATATCGTGTTAAAAATGCAATAACAAACTCAAAAAATATGGATGATATTTACAGTAAAAGTAAAGTTTACAACCGAATTATAAGGTATATATTCCTATTAGATGCGTTTCATCCACATTGGAAGTTCAAGAATAGACAAATTTTTCGAAATCAATTTTCTGTTTAGAACTTTTAACTAGTGTTGATGATAAACGATCGGAATAATTTTCTCCTTGATCAGCGACCACCAAGAGATAGAACTACACAAGAGGTCCAAAGAATAGCAAATTAAAAGCCGTGCCGAAGAACACGTGCAGCTAATAGTCGATATTTAACACTGCTTCACAATCTTACTCTGGCACCGGAATAATACATTGTTATGTATATTTAATTTAATTGTTTGTTTGTAAGTTTTAAATTTTTGTATTTTACATGCTATTGTAATATAACATTGTGTGCTGGACTTGATATTGTTCGAAATTAAGTTCATTTTCTAGTTTACCTGATTTACTTGTTTAATTTTTTTATTTCAATGTATGCTAATAACGAATACATAGCTAAATATTTATCTATGTTTATAGGCTTAATATTAGGATCTATGTTGATTCCGGTTAAAGTTTGGACTTTCCTAAGCGAATTTTACAGGTTATGGTTTTGATTTTGTTAACATCGGGATCATTCAAGGGGATTATTGTCCATTAGGTAATGTTTATTTTTTGTTTTTTAGAAAATGTTAACATCTACCACTTTCAAGTTGTATTATGTTGTGACCAGTTTTGGGTTGAATTTTATTTTCTTCAAATTGTAAAATTCAAGTGATTATTTTCTCTGGAAATACCAAAGTGCTCTGAGACAATTTATGGATTAAGATATTCACTGGAATTTACACTGAATTCAACCTAGAACTACATTACTGTGATTCAAAAAAGGCTGTTGGCACATCAGAATTCCATAAGTTATAACAGACATGTCATAACCTTCAGTTTTTGGATCTCTTCGGGACTTGTACTGAGTTTTATTAGGGACTTAATTCTATTAGGACTGTAATTCTTGTATTATTTTGGGATCTAATTCGCAATACTGTAAATATTGTTTATTATTTTCAATCTGTATTCTAGGGAAATATATTATTTGTTCAATTTTACAAAGCTTATTGTCTTTAGTTCTTTTCTATTACTTATTTTAAGAGCAAAGACTCGTAACAGTGTTGTTTGTCTTGATTGTCTCTATTGCAAAATAATAAGTGTGTATGAGTAGGTAAGTATGTCCGATTTGGATTTTAAAGTAGTTTTACAATTTCCCAGTCGTATCTCTATGATGTCTGCAGTGTGACAGTTTATGGTGATATCTAGCATTGGGGCATCATACCGCAGGAATATAGCTTCATGCCCCAGACAGTCAAAATACCCTGAGACCAGTCCTAACATAACCTCTTAATGCTGAGCGCCAGGCGAAGCAGCTGGAAGAACCATTTTTTAAACCTTTGTTATGACTTGGCCGTCATATACGTCATCTAGGAAAGAAGAATGACAAGTGTCATTCGCTGTATTAGTTCAATAATTACGAGTTACGTATATGCACAAAGCTGTATGAAAATGTGGAGTAAGTTCAAAGAAACTTTTAAACCAAATTGAGCAAAATATTGGTGGTTTAAATAATATATGCTTTGTATAGAATATGATCGCCCAATCAAAATTCAATTCATACAAATTTTAGAAATGGTAAAAATAATTCCTTAATTAGTTCCAATCGCGTAAAAAAGATGAGCAATTTAAGGAAAGTCATCCCAACCACCTGCTTAAAATATAATACAATAAATGTAAATTTAACTCAGATATGAAACCAATTGTCTTATAAAAATCGCGATGATACCTTTCATTTTATAATCAATTCTTTAGACAAAAGCGATTCAGAAGGTACGCAATACAAACAGCAGTAACATATATTAAGTAGTGTCATATTTTGGAACAGATGGTCAGTGTCAGTCTCACGTGACCGTTGCATGTTTCAGACATAGTAACAGTACTTCATACTTATTCTCCCGAAATGGCAAATAATCTACGTATATACTGCATAGAGATATATCTGCCGCTGCATTATGCTACGACATATCTGGATGAATGCAGACTCTTAGGCACAAGTAGTATAACAAACAATATAAACCCCGATTTGCTGAGAAATATTGATCTGATCAGTATTAATGCTGCTTTCTTTTGAATGGGACTTCTACATGACTATATGCCGTGCGTACTGAAGACTGTTCTCAGTACATATTGCATTTCGAAATAATTACAATATGCTCACACCTGCCAATAAACTTATCTGAACTAAGCTTTTTGTCTACAATCATGACATATATTGCATTGATGAAGGATGCTGCAGTCATAACATTTCTTTTTGTCAATCATGACAGATGTTGCAATCATAACATATTTATATAAGCTCAGAAAGGTATTTAAGTATTTATACAACTGAAATTCATACAATAAATGATAGAAAGGTATACATTTGTGTTTCAGTGGAAAATAATATACAGTAGGTGACTTTGTTTTAAATATCTAAACGTATCATACGTTTATAAACTTCATAATTAACTATGAGAAAGATTAATTACATTCTCTATTTGTTACATATTCACAAGAAGTTAATTTTGAAAATGGATTCTTGTCATATTTTGCACTTAAAATATATGTATTGGATCCCCGTCTTATCTAAGCCACAATACTATAATAATAGACTAAAATTTGACTTTATTTTTTGGTCTTTAATGGTCTAAAATCGTTAATGAGGAACCAGTCAGTTTTTATACTTGTGCACACTTCTACTGAGCACAACTTAAATTTTATGGTTGCCATATTACTTTGGCCATATCATGTATTAAACCCATTAGGACATTCCTTTCATTAATATTTTTCAAATTATATCACCGATTTTCCTGTAAGTTGTACATTTTCTATATAGTCCATGCGCCGTCTAATTTGGATACACACATATTACCCATTATTTTCTACTCTGCCTTCACTTCTTCCTAAATACCACCTAAAATCAATATAGGAACTGGAGAACATTGTTCTTCAAAGATTGTGCTATTTCTCTACACAGGTCGCATTAAATTAAAGATTATGTATAAAAAAAATGGTGCAATTAACACAACCCACGTGTTTCGTTGATACGAGCAAGTACAGCCATTGTTTTAATTTCATTCTTATTTAATACATTATGCAATCACAAAGTGACCGAGAGGTTAGGTACATTCAACATTCAGATATTCGAGGCACGTTGTGTCTGAACTGTCTACCAATCTAGGTCAAAAAGTGTTATCTCTACACAGACCCATCGACCTGCCAACGTCATGTCTGTTGAAATATAGACGGCGATGGGACTGGCTGTTCTTGAAAAGAGAGTTACATTTTGAAAGGGAGAACACGGTTCTCATTAATCTACGGTTGGATGTATCTTTCTGTGTGTGGAAATGAACGCCAAAAGGTGCTGACACAAAACACGTGCACCATTAATATTTATCCACACCTTTGACACGAAGTGTTATGAATGATTGAATCACAACATATGGCAGTTACAAATTGTTAGATAGCTAAATCATTACTTTCAATGGCCGGAACAGCTATATCATCTTCGTAAAGAAACAATGCTTTGAAATAGATATCAGTTTAAATCTGTTATGAAGCTGCACATCCTTTATGGATGTTAATGTTAGTTATTTGACCTTGAATAAGATCCTTGCGATAAAGCGGCCCGCAGGTTATTCTGCGTAAAGTAGTGCTGACGATAAAACAACGTAGAAATCAATCTTGTAGTTTCACTTCCCATACGTTAATGAATATTTAGCATGAATCATATGAACTTGAAGCCACGTAAAATCAACATGTAAATTATCGAAATGAAGTCAAATTTAGATAACGCTAAATGACTTGTTGTTGTCATTTGCTACTTAGTTATATTGCACACCAATTGAATAATACATGGTTGGTCTATTTTTTGATAAAGATGTTCAGTCTTTCTTTAAATAAGGAAATCTCAGAATGAAACTATGGATCGTTTCTTTGACGTCTGCGCGTCAATATTATTTGCATGCATCAAACACAATTTAACGAATTCCGATTCCTTTTTAAACTCATTCATCCTGTAGTGTTTCGTGTCTT